TTGGCCACTGATTCTGGAATGAGTTAGCCAGGATATTCAGCGTGGGGCCCAGTGTCCCAGTGCCCCAGTGCCTCAAACAAATCAATAAATGTTTGTAAGAGAAAACCACTGCATGCAATGACCAGGCAGGTTTAAACTAGGATGCTGAGGGTCAGAATGGGAGTATTGGCAGGAATTTTAAATGTGGACTTGAAAGGAATGAACTGCCGAGGAAGAGAGTGATGTCAGTGAGTTCATGCAGGAGGAGCAGGCATCCTGTTGGGCATAAAATGAGGAGCTGGAATAGATTTAGTTCAAGGCTAGTTTGAGATGGTCAGGAAGGGTGCCAACAAATATGGGAATCAAGGATCAGCAGAGGTGGTTTGGAATGAGAGCAAAAACTGGGCTGAAAGTCGAGATTTGGGAGACAAAGCAGGAAGGTGATTGCTAGAGCCCTGGGAACAGATAAAATGCTGTGGAAGGAGGCCAAGCTGCAGGGACAGAACTTGGGGGAATTGCATCACTTAGGAGCAGGAGAAAGGACAGGCATGAGAGCAGGAACACTTCTCAGGAGCTGGGGGTGGGGGGGGGGAAGGGCTGCCACTTCATGCCATTGCAATCATGGAAGCCTTTAGAAAGTGATGATTTCTTTTTTTTTTATCTTCAAATTCTTTATTAGTTAAGGAATTACAAATGTGTCCTCATTCCCCCCCATTAACCCCCATCCCCCCCACACACTCATGCTCTCATCCCCCTGTTGTCCATGTCCATTGGTTTGGCGTGATGATTTCAATTGTTAATCCCAACCCCCTCCTTCAGAGTCTGGGCTCTGCAGTCAAATGCCCGATTATACGATTTTGTTCCCTACCAAATACATAGTGACTCATGAAACCTTTTGCAATTCGCTGTTTTAGCCGTTTTACACAAATTACTCGGTTTAATTGTTAAAACAAGCCTGGAAATCATTTTCACCATTTTGTAAAGGAAGAACAGAGATGTTAACAAACTGTTCAAGGTCACACAGCCATTTAACAATAAAAACAGGGTTCAAAGGCAATCAATTTGATGCCAAAGCCTGGACTTTTGGCCATGACACCATCTTTTCTCTACATAATGCTTCAGTAAATAGCTGAATTCAACCGGGGCTTTTAAGGAGATGGTTTCTGCTTCCTCTTGCACTGCATTTCTCCTTTTCTATATATCCCATTCCTTTACATTTCCCACCAGATGCTCTTAGCTGAGAAATGTCTAAGGTCCTTACTTTTGTGGGAGCATTCCTGGCTTTCTCATGTTAAGTGAAGGCCACCTCCTTCCCTTGGCACCATGAGGCGCATTAGAACCCCTACCGGATAAGCCAGGAACACGGGGCGTGTGCCCCCTTTCCAGCCACAGCACACCAGAGGCCCAGAGCCACTAAGTGCTTTTTAATCACCCTAGATTTGCAAGAGTATGTCCTAATGACACTTCCTAAAGGGCATCATTACATCTACAAAAATGTTTTCTCATAAAATATTTGTAGAAAATGCCTAATAAATCCTGTCTTGGGCAATTACACCCAATCTCCACACCCTGAGAGCCTCTGTTAGTAAATTAGGTCTTGCTTTTCCTGCTTCTCAGAGGAGTCCTCAGCTGCAGCTTGGCGGGGGCGGGTTCTGTTTGGAGCCCGATCCCTGTGTTTGGGCTCACATTGACACACTCCATGAATTAAGGGGCAGACAAGGGCCACTCGGATTATAGTATCTGAGGCTCATGGTTGCTTTCAGCATCTTTGAAAAGGATACTAAGCACGGCCGATTATTATAAGCGAAGGATTAAGTCAATGAAATTGTCCATAAAAAGTTGTAAAGGGGTGCTGGGCACATTTTTAACATGAACATTGTACTCTAAAATGCCCCAAAGCCCCGGCTGGTGTGGCTCAGTTGGTTGGAGACTCATCCGTACACCAAAAGGTCTCGGGTTCGATGCCCAGTCAGGGCACATACCTAAGTTGCAGCTTCTATCCCCATTGGAGGCGCATACAGGAGGCAACCAATCCATGTTTCTCTCACATCAATGGTTCTCTTTCTCTCTCCTTCTCCCTCTCTCTCTCTCTCTCTCTCTCCTTTTCCCTCTCCTTCCCCATTCCTTTCTCTCGAAAATCAATGGAAACATATCCTCGGGGGGAGGAGGGGTTTAAGGATTAAAAATAAATAAGTAAAATAAAATCCCCCAAAGACCTGGGCTGTGCCTAACAGTTAGTAACTATGACCCATTGTGTGTGAAGGTGCTTTGTAACTCACTAGGTTCTCTATAGACATAGTATACTTGTATTGTATCTTCGGAAAACTAATATTTTAAAGAAACCCTGAAATAAGGAGGATCATTTTAACAGAATAATGAGCCCTGAATCCAGCAAGTTATGTTTTCATATATTTTTTTTATTGTTGCTGTTTGTTTGTTTTAAAGAGGAACAACCCTCATGAACTAGCTTTTCTCCAGATCACTTTTGGAGCTTAACCAGACAAATATTTTGTACCATTTTGACTGCTGGATATCTCCCTAGTCTCCACTCGGTGACTCTCAAAGAGCACGTTGGAAAGTTGAGTTATCTACATAGCGGAGCCACCATACTTAACACGGTTGATGACAGGATCCCAAACACACCTGCTTACAGTAACCTGGTGGCTGAGAAATGAAGGTCACTCTGCCCACTGGTGGCTTATGTTAGACTGTGCCCAGTTGCCTTGGCCCCTTGGGACCTTTGTCCTACAGGGGAGTGATTTTTGCGGTAGAAAACCATGCGCATCTGGAAGGCATTTTGCCAGCACTAGCGTTCAGGGTCTGAGGCTAGGCTCGCATTAGGTGGAGGGCAGAGGAAGGTCTGAGGGCAAGAACTGGGCTGGGAATTGCTCCCAGGGAAATCCATGAGGACTAGCGAGGTCAAAAATGGAAGACGGTGGGAACACAGGGCAGATTCCTCTGTTTCCTGGAAAGGGGTTCCTTCAGGACGGCCCTATTTCTCTAAGACTCCTGGAGCTGAGCCTGAGCTGGCTAATAGGATATATATGGGTTGGCAGCCACATTATCCAAAAAGAAAAAAAATCCCTTATGTTGAGCCCCCAGAAACCTTTCAAAGGGCGCCAGGCAGAGTTTCCCCCTGCCAGTGAAATAGTACATTTTAGTCCTTCTGAAGATCTTCCTTAGGACCAGCGGACAATCCTTACAGAAATTGAGCCTAAGTGTCTAGTCAGATGGGAAATATGTGATCATTTTAGCCTGAAGGAAGAAGCAAATTAGATCTGAGTAGGCATAATAGCAGAGGGGCAAGAGATTCCTGCATGATTTTGAGTTTTATTTGAAAAGACATTATTATAATGGGCTGGAGTGGTGATGTTCCATGGGCAAGATTTTACTAATGCCATTTGACAGCTGCATATTCTGAGTGCCTGGTTTTAAAGCAAGATGTTAAATTGGGGGAAGGATCTTGGAAAGAGCTAACTATAAATATTTATCTCACTTTAGCTAATAACCCAATTCTCTAGCACCAAAGTACATTTTCTTTTAGAGCAAAAAAAATATCAAAGGGGCTAAAGTATTACCAGGGATGAAAATAGGATGGGTTGAAATTCAAAACAGATTAAGGCTAATTGGAACAATTATAAAAATTTGATTCTGCAATACAATCCATTTAATTTACTTTCCTATTGATCAGTGGTGGCTGCCTGCTTTAGCTAGACCATCTTGGTGAGGGAATTCTGTTCTTTCCAAAAACCTTTAAAGTAGATGCCCATGATACTCAGCTTTTTTTTCCACATAGGAGTTATTTTTCTATTGCACCCAAAATAGAATGCATGTGCATTTCAATATCGGTGGATTGAAATTGTTTGACTTAATGTGGAATTTATGAATGGAAAGGAGAAAGCTCTATCACTAAATTTGGAACATTGGAAGTTACTTTAGAAACCAGCTTGAAAGGTTTTTGTGCAGCCTTATAGTAGAGGATAAGTCTGTGTGAATAATTCATAGAGTCCTAGAAATATTAATCAAATAATTTGGACAGTGATATAGCTTTTCATTTGGACTAATTGATTTTTTTTTAAAGTTCCTGACCAACTGTATTTTTTGTTTGCTTGTTTTCTGAATGTTTGCGTTAACTCTTGTGGGAACTCCTTGGGTTGTGATGAAAATTCCATACCAAATGTTCGTTGGTATTAACTGTGGAGTGAGTCCGCTGGTGCTGGCAGAAGGAGAAATGAGCTCCGCCTTCCTGTCAGTCTGTGAATGGATTGTGAAGGGTTTGTTAATTTGCTCTTTACTCCACTGGAGCAGATACTCACAGATATTTGCTGTGTCGCAAGGCTTTTATTTGCACTGTGAGAAGAACGGTTTGGGGGAGGGTTATCATAAGGTGCATTAAAAATAGAAATACTTGGCCTTGTTTGCTTTTGTTCCCCGCCTCTTTAGAAACAGTCTTGACTGTGCTGCTTTCCAGCCAAGTCCTGTTTTGGAAAAGGTGATTAAAGGAGCCGGGATTCCTTTTGCCCCATGGTCTGCCTGCCTGAGCCCTTTCCCCCAGCTCTTCTTGCATTTCACCTCTAAACCTAGCCTGCCTTGACCCTCGTTGATGTGTAAAGTACCACAGACGCCTGCCTTTCTGACACTATCATAAGGCTGCTTCCCTGAGAGACGTAAAATAATTGTTCTCTATTGCATCCCAAAGATAATCTGCATCCTTCCTTTGCCTTTCTTTTTTTGTTATTAAAAGAACATGGTATAAGATGCACACATTTGTTCCTAAAGTCAGAGGGCAAGCATTTTCCTTGCGTTTCCAGTTAAGTGAGACACATGAAGCACAGGGACGGAAGGGGGTGGGGACGGCTGAACTGCCTGGAATGCATATGCCTTTGCCTAAAACTGGAGGCACCGCGCGGTGCTTAGCGCTAGATTTATGGAATGGCTCCTCTCCCGGCGTCGTCCCTGCTTCCTACAATTTGGTGCTTTGTTGCTATCGAAACAGCCTTACTTTCTAAGCCATCGTGATGGTGCAGGGGGAGGGGGCTGTGGCGGGCAGGGGTGGTAGTAGTAGTGAATGACACAGCTCTGCCAGATGACAGCGGACCTCTGCATCAGCCAAGAGGAATTAAGCGTTGTCACTCCCCACTGGGACTACCTTTCTCGTGGTATGTGCGCAAGGAATTCGTAGGCTGCCGCTGCAGCCAGCAGAGCAGAGCCCCGAGTACACTTGGCCACAGAAAGCAGGGAGCAAGAATGATAGCTGTCTCTTTCAAATGCCGCTGTCAAATTCTGAGGCGACTCACTAAAGGTACCGTGATTCTCTTCCTATTCACTCACCGAGTCTGTTGCGGTGGCCTGTAAACACAGTTTAATGGTTTTTACTTTCAAATATGACTGTCTTTTCAGTTTACTGTCAGGCAACAAAGAAGTCAGTGAAATATGTGTAGATGTATATGTGCAGGTAACTCGGCTTGGCTTTCCCCTCACAGCCTGGTTATGTTCATGCTGAAATCATGAACCAGCTTGTATGTTTTTTCCCCTGAACGACTTTATTCTTTCCTGAAAAGAAGATGTGTCTGGGTCCGGGACTGAAGTTATTATGGGAAACCATCGTTTTGCTTGCTGATTCACTGGTCAAGAGGCATCAAGCATGTGTTACTGTCCTTCCCCTGATACACGTACTGAAATGCCATCGGCTGCCTCGGGACCTGCACAGCCGGTGAATCCACAGAATTATTGTTTATCCTATTAATGTCCAACATCTCGTGAGCTTTTTCCCAGGACAGCATTAATTTTTTAATTTTAGAATTGCACGTTCATAAATGTAGGTAATTTGAAATGCTTTGGTCCTAGGTGATATTCGAACTTTATTTGAAAGTAAAAATTGTTGCTCTGGGTCTTATACTCAAGTATGACTGGCCTGAGATTGTCTCTCTTACAACTCTAAAATATTAATTCAGTCTCTAATATTGAAAATGTGTTTTTCTTGGAAATCACTCTATGCCATCTCATTTACTTTGCATGCATTCCATCCCAAAGTTAATGAATGGTGGCTTTAAAAAGCTAGCCCTAGGTACGTATAGATATGTGAGCCCTCTTGTCTTATTTATTATTATTTTTAGATAGAATTTTCTTTAGAGAGAATGTATTATTTAAAAAAAAAAACAACTTTACTCTGGGTAAAAGTGTGTAGCTGAAAATGCCCCCCCCCTTTTTTTAACCTGTAACATACGGCACTGTCGAGTAATTAATGGTGTAATTATGCTCTAAGCTCTGAACCTATAAATATGTTAATGGATGCTATTTCTATCAGTTTAGCTCGACATATCAGAATTCTTTGATCGCCAGCAGTGCAGCTAAAAATGCAATTAATATTTTATTTGGCAGAAGAATGAGCACAAAGCAAATAGTGAGAAATAGATCAGTAACAGGAAAGAGAATAGATACTATAGCCCAACTGACCTAATGCATTTGCAAGTTGTTTGGATAGCAGAGCGAGTCCTTCCAAAGGTTCTTTGGGAGGAATACAGGAAAAACAATCCATTTGAAACTAAGCTGTTAGTATGAGGTAGTAAGTACTGTTTTGACTTTATCCTCTGCAATTGATACAAACGTATAATTTCTGTTTATGAATTGCTATTGAAAGTCTATTCTTTATGTGGTGGTTTTAGCTAAGACTTTTAAAGCTCTCTTATTCAAAAAAGTTCTTTTCTTATCTGATTTTAGCATTTACTTAGCTTGATGCTGAGAAGTTGATGCTTGTCTTACATTATAATCATGAAACAATCAATATTTTCTATTCGTGTATTTCAGAAATTCTTTTCTAAATCCTACATACCAGAATGCAAGTGAAACCAAGCAATTTTTAGTTCTTACAAATATTTTAAAGCTTTTTCCAGTTTTCTGAGTCTTATGGAAGCATCTATCTCATGCCGCGAATAGAGATTTAAATGTTTACTAAGATAGTTGTTAAAAATCTAGATCAGCGCTGGCCCGTGTGGCTCTGTTGGTTGTAGCATACTTCTGTGCACCAGGAGGTTGTGGGTTCAATTCCCAGTCAGGGCACATGCCCAGGTTGCAGGCCCCATCCCCGATTGAAGCACATATGGGAGGCAACCGATCTCTCTCTCTCTCTCTCTCTCTCTCTCTCGCTCTCTCTCAAATCATTTTTAAAATTTAAAAAAATCTACATCAATGAAGAAAGTATTGATACCTTCTTCGTAGTTGGTATTTCATTTTTCCCCCCAATATCTTTATATCTGCTCTTTTTTATCTGGTATTTAGCTGAAGACTTCCAGTTGATGACTAAAATAAAATCTCTCTCCCTGGACAGTGTGCCTCAGTGGTCTCCGTCAAGGGCATGTACCTGGATTGCAGGTTCGATCTCTGGCCTGGTGGGGCACTGGGGGCAATTGGGAGGTGGCCATTAGAGTGTCTCGCTCACATCGATGTTTTTTTTTCTCTCTCTCTCCCTTCTGCTCTCTCTGAAAATAAATGGAAAAAAATACCCTTCGGTGAGGATTCACAACAACAAAAATATCTCTGTGGAATCAATTTGCTATCATTTGACTCCTCTGCGTGCTTGACTAGATGTTCAAATGTTGGCCAGGAATATGCCTGAGTAATGGAACGCCAACCTTGCCATCCCCTGTTCAACAAAGTTCAAGTCCCACCAGTGCTACCTGTTGTTCTGAAATGGATGCATGAATTCCAGCACCTCACCCCTACCTAGGGTGCTATTTTTCTTAGGCTGTAATACTGAAACCAAGAATTGTATGTAATTATAACCTTAAATGCCCTGTCTTTTTCAGGGGAGTGTAGTGTGGCTATGCATTTGGATGAAATTTCTGTCCCATCCTTCCTACCCATACAACTCGCACATCCTCACCCTCAACCCCCAAGTACACATATTTCTTTATACTCATGAAGACTGCACCTAATATACTTCCTCCAGATATTTACCTGAGTACCCTGCCCATAGTAGATGCTCAGTAACTGTCTGTTGAGAGCTCCTAGAAGGGGCAGAGATCTGTTTCATGTTTCTGAGACAACCTTGTTATTTGTGGTTGATGTCACCCATAAGAAAAAGCAGTATGGCAATTACAATATCTTTTGAATTCTCTTAAGGAAAAAAGGATGTATGCAATTAAAGGGAAACTATTTTCTATATGCATTCATATTCTTAGTATTTTACTTGGGTATTTTTTTAGGTTTCTTTATTCATCTATTGTCCAATTAACAAATATCTATTGAATACTAGAATCCTGGACTGGGACATTTTATGGGATAATCAGCATTTTTAAACCTGGAGAGTATTATGCTAAGTGAAATAAGTTAGAGAAAGACAAATACCATATGATTTCATTTACATGTGGAATCTCATGAACAAAATTAAAAAAATAGAAACAGACATAGATACAGAGAACAGATTAACATCAGGGAGCATGGGGGACTGGGTAAAATAGGTGAAGGTATTAAGAAAAAAAATCATAGACACAGACAACAGTATGGTGATTACCAGAGGGCAAGGGAGTTGGGGGGTAGAAGAGGGTAAAGGAGGAATAAATGGTGATGAAAGGAGACTTAACTAAACACACAATACAATATACAGATGACGTATTATATAATTGTACACCTGAAACCTATAATTGTATTAACCAACTAGAGGCCCAATGCACAAAATTTCACAAGAGTAGGCCTTCCTTCCCCCGGCTGCCGGCACCAGCTTCCCTCTGGCTTCCAGGACCCGGGCTTCCCTCGCAGCCCCGGCTTCATCCGGAAGGTCGTCCAGAAGGACGTCCAGTCTAATTAGCATATTACACTTTTATTATTATAGATGTCATCTCAATAACTTCAATTAAAATAATAAATAAATTATTATTTGGGAAGTGGTTTTAAAAGATCTATAAAACTTATATTTTATAGACAAATCCTCTGGTCATCCACATAGAAGCATGGCCCACGATAATATGGCAGGACATATTTTAGGTGAACTTAGCACTTCTCAGACTTAGGAATTGAGTCGTTTTTCTTATTAAGTTTTCAGGGCACCATTTATTTGCCTTATTGGCCCCCTACCAAGCTAAAACAAGAACAAGAAAATAACCTTGACTCCCAAGGCCCATCCCTGCCCTTAAGGCAGGAACTTTGGGCCACCGACAGACCCAGACTGTCAAAAGTATTCTTTTACTTCTCATGCCGAAATCCAGAGAAGAGATAGTCTTCTGCCTCAACTCTTCCTTCCTCCCTCCAGAATGAGACTGTCTACTGATTACCTAGCCTTGGAGACAAATCCCAAAATAACAGTTTTTCAGCTTCCCAGCCACATCGGACAAAGGAATTTTCCTGAGCAAGTAAAGCCAGGCTTCTTGGCACCTACCTTCCAGCTGCCTACCTCCGAGAGCCCTGCTTCTTCTGCCAGGGGCTGCGGTACCTCCGGAGACGTGAACAGGTCCTTTGAGAAGGGAATACCTTTTCATGTTTTACAGGCTTTGTTCTCTTTCTTTTGTCATGATGGTGTCATCTCTTTCTCCTTGAGATTGGTTGGCTTCATAGGCAAAGAATCATTTTCTGTTGTGATAACTGGTATTACTCTACTTCTTCCTCACTGTTTTAGCTCAATGATCTGAACCTTTGTGCTCCACGGGCAATGGAGCTTTTATTCTGTCTGCCAAAGTCAACATCAGCCAATACATACTTACATTCCACAGAGGCCATGGCTCTGGTAACCTTGTGGGTTTTGTCACCATTCACTTTATCTCCCTGTCTTCTTTCTACCTGCTCGAAACTCATGTCCAAAAATTTGTCTTCATTTTAGTCTAGATTTCAAACTTGTTCATTATGACTGGCCTCACTGTCATTTTATTTTCTACTTGGTTTCTCTTCCTGCTTCTTTCCAAACACACATATGGCCTAGAATAGAATTAACCCTCCCTGCCCCTTTCCATCGGCTTACTACTGGCAGCCATGGCCCTGCGTCCCAGTGGGGTGTCTGAGCTAGATGTTTGTGGCTGGCATCCAGCAGCTTCCTGCTGTGTGTGCCTTCTTTCTCTCTGCCTCTCTCTCTCCTGGATTTCTCCTCCCAACCTCGATATCCTTCCTTCTGTTGTGCTGCCTGGACATTCAGGGACATTACTTATCCACTGGCGCTGAGCAGGTGTAAAGGGCTTTGTTCTGATCACAAGCGCATGCTCTTCCTTGCAGTCTTTGCTTCTTGCACTTTCCCCAATCTTGGAATCATCATGCTTGAAAGGGGAGGTCAGACATTAATCTAGGATTTGTCTCCTGAGAGAACTGAGACTCAACCAT